TATATATATATATATAAATCAGTCTTATAATATTACGTTGCATGGACAGTGGTTATCTAGAAACCAAAAATATAAGAGAAGAATACTGTGACGACAAAAGACAAAACAAAGATATTTTCCACTGACGTCTAAATTACAGTCGTTCTTACAAAGAAGTAATTTAGAGATTTTTTATGTACCATACAAACCTTCACAAAGGTCAGTTTTATAATTGAGAGAAGACATTAATCAACTGCTTTCCTTCTCTTGAACCAAAATATTTCTTTAATTTTCTGCACTATCCAAATAATTGCAAAAAAATTTTGAAATGGCCACACGTTTAACGACCCATCCAATAAGTTTGATGGTATCATCTCTGCAGCCATTTTGATAGTGACAAATACCATACTGAGTTGTATCTTCACACCAACTTTTATTACACGTATTCAAAATAATAAAATCCATTCTTATATCATTTTGATCAGCGATCAGAATAACGGCAAATAATTCAAAATTAGTTAACACCATTTAATCAACAGCGACGTCACTAGAACCTTAATTTGTCACTGGTTCAAAAACAAAAAAAAAAAAATGCAACCATACACACATCGAAAGAAGCGTTCGAGCATAATACAGTTTTTACAACAAATTTCTTCCCCTCGTTTCCTTTCATTCATTCAATTATAAGCTTTAACAACTTTGGTTTTTTTTCATGATTGGAAAGCTGTTTCTTTACTTCCTCTTGAAGTGGATTCCCTGCTAAATTTAGCTGCGTTAACATAGGAAACGACTCGTAAATCCGACTGACATCCAGGTCTAAAAATTCCACGTAGTTGATAAATCTTTCTTTGCATAATAATTATAGTCGCTAAAGCATAAGTAATAAACTGTTAAAGTGTGATGTTACCGGTTATATTATTCTTGCTTAGGTCAAGTATACTTAGCTGCTCAAGGTCGTACAAAGCTTCTGGAAACACTGTTAGCTTATTCTTTGAGAAGTTCAGACCTCTAATAGTTTTCCACCCAGCAACTTCTTCCGGTATCTCCTCAACTGCGTTGTCTTCAATGCTGAAAACTGAAAGATGATGGATTTAGATAACTACTGAATTAATTTCACAACCTTCTCTCTCGGCTAAAATACTATACACTAAAATTACAGAATACAACTTGCCAATTAACTTAGTAAATTTCTCGATAACTTTTTTCGGAAAACTTTTTAGTGCATTACTCCGTAGATTGCAACTGTGCATATCGAAACCATTTAGGATGAAATAAACGGCGTTCGGAACACATGTTAAACTGCATCCCGAAAGATCTTAAAAAATTTTGATCGTTACATCCCAGGTCACCACTGGAACCACACGTAAGCGAATATGTCATTAGAATTTGAAAGAAAAAAATTTTCTCTGCAGTTTCCAAAAAAGCCCTAAAATTATTTTTCTGCTTTGTTCTTTGTCACGAAAACCTTTAATTTCGTACCAAGATTGCCAGAAACCTTTGCAGATTCGCATCTCTGAACGACCTGCGTTACCCCAGCTCCTGCCATGAATGCCATTTCATTTGGTTGCTCTCGTTCAGTGGTTGCTGGCTCTACAACACTGTAACCATAAAAAGACTCTAGTGGTAAGGTAAAGGGGCACATAGTTAATAGACAGCAGTTTTTCCACAAGACTAAAGTTCGCTTAGTGGCAAATTACAGTGGCAACAAAGAGCTCAAAAAAGGAAGAGTACAAAACTGAGAGTAAGCGACAAATTTGTTCCCTTTTCGTGTTTTGTATTTTATAGTAAGGCCGACCAAAACAAATTTGAACAGTTTTACTATTGTTTTTCTTTGAATACGTTTAGGTGTTCAAGAGATATTGGTTTAAATTTGTATTTTAAGATGTGATAACACCTTGAGGCTCAACTGGAATCCTAACCAGATACTAGCGATGCTTATAGCTGCCTCTTATCAAACTGCTTCTTCCCCATCTCTCATTCACTTTTTCAAAATTCAACGGTATCGATGATCATATTATTGTATTAAAATCCTCCCAATCCTCATCAGCTGTCAGTGTTCATTTCGTACTCGTCGTGATCGAAAAGGAACATTAAGCTAAAATTGCTTTTGGAATAAAAGAGCTAACTATGAGCAAGTAAACATATATATGGAAAAAATCTGCAGTGCAAAACTGGAAGAAAAAAGTTTCTATTTCTTCTAATTTTGAATCCTTAGCAACCTGTACAACAAATGGTAAACTGTCAAAAGTCATTGTGCTTTTATTACGTTACTAATTTGTTCTTGCTGAAAACACCGCCAGTTAATAAAATAACAGGAATTAGAGTGCAAAAATCAAACGACATTAACATTAAAATAAGTACCAATTTATTTTTCGATAAACAAAGTCTCTCCGCTTAACTCGATAGTAAACTGTACATAGTAGTACTAAAATAGTTACTTAGATTTTTTTATTAAAAGTATGAAGCAAAAAAAAAAAAAAAATACGGCTGTTATAAGTGTTTTGTTCTACAAAGAGATATTTGTGTAACGTCGACGAACTTTTCTAGTGCAACCACTATTATTGCCATAAAGGAAATAACGTAATTATGTATTAAGAGAAAGAAAAACAATTTTTTTACAGTGACTATGCACATATAAGCAACAGGAATATAATCCAAAAGAGGAGGAGAGAGAACAGTTACTTTACGAATATTTGGAAGAAAAGAATTATCGAGGAGAGGAACGCAATACAGTGCCCCTCTATAACTAAATTATAAAGTGAAACAGTAATATTTAGTGAGTTAAGCAAAGATGAAGAAATAATTGAGGAACAGAACTATCGTTATATTATATAATGACATCTGAGAAGCAAAACAGAATGGTGAGCAATTATTGAGATACAAAGGGAATTAGCAAAGAACAAGTGAAAAGAGCAAAAGAAGAAAAAAATTTACATTGCTTATCGATGAGGTTTTTGGGGATTCAAAACAGCTGTTGTAAAAGCGCCCTCAAAAAGAGTTAAAAGCAAGAAAAAAGGCGAGCGGAGAAAGATACAATCAATGAAGAACCGCCAAAACAAGGTTGCTTTCGATGTGGAAACCACATCGTTCCAAATATTTTTGGCGGCCAAATCATAAGCGAAAACTCACTTACTTGTAAAGATGAATGAAAATACCTAACACTTGGAAAACAAAAGCAGGGCAGTAATAATTTGGTGTTTAAATATGTAAACAGAACTTAAGATGCAGAAAGGTATTCTCACTTCTGACTCATTAACTCAGTTGATATAACAATTGGAATCATTGCTGATAAATTAACCAAGTACATTTCTCACAGAAGCCCTTATCAGAGGTTAAAATCAAAATTGCACACTAATAAAGAGCTAAAAATATAAGTTTTAAAATTTGAAGGAAAATGCAGTAAGTATTTTAAGTGTTTTTAAGATATTTTTGCAAAAAAGATACAGAAAAACAGTTGAAGACAACAACAATGTGCTAAATCAATGTTTGTAAAATAGCAACAAACGACAGAACACAAAAGCAAAGAAATGAGCGACCAGAGCATTGGTAGTTGTGTCAGAGCTTTGTGATACATCAAGGCAAAACTGAATCATTCAAACACCACTCAACCTAATGTCTTCTACCGCACTTCGCCGTAAATATGTTTATTTTTGTCTTTTAAGTTTTATGCAAGTTGACCAAATGAATGAAAAAAAATTAGTGTTAATTTCACGTGTAATTGTGAACGGTTTGATTAAAGGTGTCAAAAAATTAAATGTTTTCGCCTTAAAGAGTTCTAACTGTATAGAATCAACTCACATTTTCATCGCGTCTGAACTTATATCTTTATATTTTCAACTGTGAGTTAATTATCGACGTATACAAGAACTGCACAGGTATCTGGTAACTTATAAAACATTAGAAGATATTAGATTAAAGAAGAATGACGCATCGTCTTACTGGTTTTAGCACTAACTTGTACCACTGACACCTGGGAAAGGCAAGTTCAAAAGATTGATATGAAGAAAGTATTACACAAATTGCTTTTATTGTTGTTTCATAATATTTCTGGATGTTAGCTCAAAATAACGATTGTTGTAGTAAGTAGTCTCAGTTTTTGATTTTTAAAGACTTTGAAAACTCCCTCGACTTTTCAACATTTTCTTCTTTGACGGATGACGAAGCGTGACTTATTCTATTTTGTTTATTTTCTTATAATTCTCGATATGGTAAAGCACAGTTATGACACATAACATGTTCTCATTTTTAGCTGCTCAGACCGTTAAACAACCAAAACCACTCTTTCACGTCACTAGTTAATCTGCTTTCAAGATCATTGCTGAACTGTATAGAAACCAAAAGAAAACATTTATTCATAAAATTTACCGAAAACCCAGCAGCGTTTAATATTTCATCCTCAGTTGTCTTTCACAGGTCATCTCGCTCACTTTTTAATTTCATATGGCTTTTGAATTCCTCACATAATTAAGAGTTACAGTTTTCAATCTACGTCTAGGTTATTTAATTGTCTTCCTCCAAATTTGAGCGTAAGTAAGCCGTAACAACGTTTCTGATTTAATGCTGTAACAGCTTATTCTTGGTTTTCGTAACTTTCACTCGTCTGTTATGCTTCAGATAAATTTATTTACCGCTACAGCAGTTTCGGCGATAGAATTTTGATCGGTTTTTCCAACCACAGTTTTGCAGACAACATTTTAATTTTTAAAAATGAAAATTATAAATGGAGTGAGATTTTAAAAGTAAAAATTGTAATAATTTTAATTTTAGTCAAACATTTTGTACTAGTTCTTTGCTTGAAATGTTCCCGTTACTTAGGTCTTACTTTGTTTTTCATTCATGTCTTCAAGGGCAATAATGCAACACTTTAAACCAAAAGTAGAGATTTTAGAAGAAAATTTGGAAGTTTGGAAGTGGTACAAGACATCACTGAAGCAAATCGCTGCATGTTACAATTTTGTTCTGTAAGATGACAATAGAAAAAAGTAATTTAAAATTTTGAAAAGAGAAAGCTGTTCAAAAGAAGAAGTTATCATAGTTTTAACTGTTTAGTAGACGGCTTTGCTTTCTGAAATTTTTATGAAAAAAATTGAATCCAGTAACATACTTTTAAAGAAAATGTCAACTTTTAAACTACCCCCAATGTTTTGAAATTAGAAGTAAACACTGGTTGAATTTATTACAGACAGAATCATTCGATTTAACTAATATACTAGGAAAGCCAAATTTTGCATAGAAACTTTAAAAAAAACAGTCACCTTGAATTCAGTAAGTTTCTCATCACAAGATGACGAACTTCACCATGTAATAATTGAAAAAATGTTAGTGCAAACCCAGTTCTACTTTTGTAACTTTGTATATTTTCATAATACTTTAAAAACCTCAGGGTTTTAGTAGGAAAAATAAAACTTTATAGAGTTTGATCTTTTTAAACTAAATTAATTGGTACCCGGGGCGAAATGACAAATTTGAACTGTAAAGATGCGAAGCTGAGTGATATCTCAAAATCTCAAACTGTTGTGCTACATGACCAAATTTTAAAGCGTTCTTCTGCGATTTATATGCACTGTACGCGCGACTGTAACGTCTGTTGAAACAGCTGTGACAACACGATTTTCCATCCAAATGACGGCAGGGCTCCTCGCCCTAACAAATTCAAATTTCTAGCCAAAATTTTCCTGTTGCTACACCAGTGGCTACTATTCGTGCACTTCGAGCTCTTAATAAGCTTCTTGATTCATATTGATTGAATAATCGGAAACCTAGCGGTTCTAGTTAAAATCTTTCTAATTCTGGCTGATATGATACGGCAGTCAGTAATTAATCAGTCTATTCGCTGTTTTATCCAAGAAATGTTGGTTGAGTGTGAGCCGCCTTAAATTGTTCTTCTTTGATATATTTTAAAATTGCATTTTAAGATTATACATTTATGCCTATAATTCTTTACTGGTTTGTAGTTAATATATATGATACAGAAACCAACTGACTGAAAAAAAATTCATTGTTATACTTGTTACTGAATTCTCGAAAGAGAAGGCATTACCCCTTTTTTTGTCTTAAAGACGACTAGTGTAATAACAAGTACGGCGGGGGAGGAATAGTGATGAAAATGCCAATTTATAATTGACATTGGTCATCAAATCTGCTTTCAGACTTTTCAGTAGTGTTCTGTTCTATAAGTTGTCAATTTTTTTACCATATGTGTTCCGTTTTTACGCAATGTGCTAATTTGAAATCAATCATTAATTACAACAAACGTAATTTTTTTGCCTAGCTTTTCAGTAAACTCTTTCAGTTGTTTTCGTGGTTTGTCAAACTTTTTAATCGTTTACTGTGTTTGCCCGTATTTGAGTGAAAAGCATAGGAAACTACTCTCGCGGTATTAGACTTCGGTGTCTTTTAATAATTAAATTTTCAGTTATTACACAGCAGTTCCAGTTCACCACTACGTTATAGTCTCGTTAGTGTGATTTGCGGAACTTCTTAGCGAGCTTTCGAAAGATCTGCGAAGAAACGTTTTGAAAACATGAATCCGCATCAAGTTCTTTTGGCTTTTCTGTGCGGGGTCTGTATGGTTATTGCGTCAGTGAAGGATAAGTCAGTAAAAGCGGCTTTATTTCGCGTCAGAAACAAAAGACAGATTTATTATTTATGCGGAATATATCCAAATCAATACTATTCCAGTAAACGTAAGAAAATTATTTATTTTTTATTGATTTTTTTATGTTTTAACTGTTTATTTCGCTGACTTAGAAACTCTTGAGCTAACTGTTATTAATTTTTTGTCATCCTGAACTAGCGCTTGAAAGCATCTTTGAGTTTACCCATACTTGCTGATGTAAGTTTTTTAGCAACATCATTTGTAAAAGTATCGTCGATTATTGTTTTGTTTTTTTTTCAAGTTTGGGAAATGAAGAAGTTCGTTCATGATTAATTTAAACTTTCAAATTTAATTTGAAGCCTAGGACCTTTTATCTTAATTTCTGTAAAAAGCTTTCTGTGAAATTCTTTGAAAGCAAATTCTGTTTTTATTATTTCAAATATAAGGCAGTTTTCTTAGTTAACAGTATGTGGTAGTAGTCGTTATTAATTCTTTCAGCTTGCTACTTCACGGAGACAGAGTGTTCTAATGGAGGTCGTATGATTGGGGTGGGTTGCGACACCGCAATTCAGTGCACTCCGTATCACACTGGCAAAACAACTTGCATCGACGGCTGCTGTTGTACAGTACCTGAATCTTACACTTCAAAACCGAATCTTAGTTTTGGTCAGTTAAGCTGTTTCACTCGAGAGTAAGCTGTAGTGCAGTAATACTCTTCTAAGCTCTATTTTAACAAAAAAGTCGCTGAAAAAAATGTTAAAAGGCAAACGGTTATGTACGATTTGTTTAAACACAAATAAGAAATTCTGTGAATTTTCTCGTATTTAAAGGAAAAGCTTAGTCTAGTCTGAAGATTTTGAAATGAAGATTTAAAGTATGCAGCTTCATCATTGCATTTGCTACGGTTAACTGAGTTGCTCTATGTTAATAACTTCGTGCTGGTCATATATTCCTTCTAAACATTTTTCTTAATTTATGTCTAGACGATTAAAAATAAGATTTTATTCCACTTTACTAGTCAATTAAGTATCTAAAAGTTTTCAAAGTAATTAATTTACTCACAAATGCTAAATGACGAGAAGAATTTCTGCTTATCACAAAACAAAACACATGGTGAAATTGCTTTTGCCATATTTTCATCATCGTTGTTCTGAATTCTAACTATTAGTTTCTAACTGACTTTTGAAAAAGTTGAATTATACAGTATAACTTATCTAAAGTATTAGTCATATTGCTTTAACAAACTAGTAATAATAACAATACTAATTGATTAAAAAAATAATATTATTATTATATATAATACATGATATATAATGTATAATATATAATAATAATATTATTATTGTTATATAATATTACTATTATTGCTATTATTATTATTAGTAGTAGTGGCAGTAGTAGTAGTGGCAGTAGTAGTAGTAGTAGTAGTAGTAGTAGTAGTAGTAGATAGTAGTAGTGGTAGTGGTAGTAGGAGTAGTAGTAGTAGTGGTAGTGGTAGTAGGAGTAGTAATAGTAATAGTAATAGTATTGATATTAATACCAGTGGCATCATCGTTATTGCCATTATTACTATTGTTATTATTATCGTTACTATTGTAAATATCACCATTAACATTAGCATCATTCTTAATATTGGTATTAGTATCAGTGGTAGTATTGATATTATTACTGGAGACAGGAAAAACTGAGAGTTTACTTACATTGCAACTGGCTTTCGTTATCTTTTAAAAACTTGTTTACCTCTGGAATTTCGATTTATGGAAAGTTGTAGTCAGTGGATTTTACGGTTTGACTGTTTTTCAATTGCTAGTTCTATTTATACAAGATACTAAGCTACATTAAACTTTTCTTTTATTAGTTAGTTTGGTTACATTTAGACTGCATTAGTAACACAAGCAAGAAATTACGGTTAATCAGTGCATTGCTGCTTTTGTACAAAGCACTGGATTTTTTTTGATTAGTTTTGCATTATTTAAAGGGTATTGTTACAATGGACAGCTATCTCAAGTTCGGTGTAGTTCGAGGAATCAGTGTGGGGCTGGACAGACTTGTATGAATGGACTTTGTTGCACGACCATAGGGGACGAGTATCAATGTTAGTTTTCACCGTTTTAACACATATCATTAATGCAACTTGCCTGCTCTAACCAAACTATCTGTACCAAAGAAGATGAACTTTAGATACTTGTGGTGGCATAGCAGCTTTGGGAAGTTGCGCAGACAATGGCACTTGCACGGGTAACATGCATTGCAATCCATCAAATTACTGCTGTGAATGTCCGGTTGGGAGAAGCAGCGGCCTCTGCAATGAGGTCTAAAAATTTATTTTTGAACTTGTTAAAACAGTCAGAGTCGTTTAAAATTAATTTTCACTGTCAATAAAACTTCTAGTCATCTAGAAATTTGATGATTTTAGTGTTTAGATAAAATCGATAATATTTAGGATTTGTTTCTGGAAGATTTTTTAAGAGCGGGTGCAGAAAAAAAATAAGTATAAAACATCTCTTTTTAATTAACGAGTTTTATTTTAACGATCGTTTTAATGAGCACAGAAAAGAATTTTGAAAAGACAGTTGCTAAAATTTGATTTTTCTTTAGGACCAATGAAATCTTGATTGTAAATTCAAATCTGTTTAGGGTGTTTGTCCTTCTGGTTTCATCTGTAACAGCAATGGTTACTGCTGTGCATCATGTCCAAACAATGAAACACCTTACGGAGCCTGCAGGAATGGAGTTTGCGGAGACGGCTCAAAATGTGTAGCTGGAAATATCTGCTGTTTTGTGTAGGTCTGCTGTTGTATAGACATCAGATTAAACTTTACCCCGAAATTTGTAATGCTGAAGTAATTGCTAACAAATTACATTTGATCAGTTATTCCAAGAGTTCCATTACAAACGATCCAAAACCAATCTCAGTCAACGAAAGAAAACTGTATATCAGTGGAAAGTTGGTTTCCCCAAGTGAAATGCTTGGAATAAATAGTTTGTAAATCTAGAAACATATTTTTACGAGTTAACTTTTAATTCTTAAGCAGTTTTTACTTATTTTTTGTCTTTCTTATATTGTTGTGTTGTACGTGTGTTTAATTGTTGACATCGTAAAAATTAGCCCTTTAACAGTTTGTCTTCTCTGTTACGGTTAGATGTTTTATTCTTTGCTAATTTAACCTTAAATAAACACCTTTGAATTAAGTCTAATGGGAATAAATCGGCAGTGACGAAAAAAAAGAACAAACAAACAAAGAGACAAAAAAACTTTTTTAGGCTGTTGCATTAAAGTCAGGAAAATGTTGCATTTTGCATATCTGTTGAAAAAAGACTTTAAATCTAATGATTAAAGATTCTGTGATTCTGAGATGGTTAAGCATTTGTTGGCTGTTGGTGTTCTGAGACAATATTGTATTGAGTACCGCAATTATAATATTCTCAGTGTGAAGCATACAGCAGACGTTTTTGACACGGAAATGTCTGTGCTGACTGAGCGACGCCTTTCCTTGGTTTTTTTTTTGTTTGGAGCGTTAGTCGAATGTTCCCAAGTTCAAAACGGAAAAAGCTATAATGCATTTATATATATATATATATATATATATATATATAT